AACTGGATTGGAAATGGAGCAGCTGGGACTCGAACCAGCGTTCATATGGGATGCTAGCACTGCAGGTGGTGGCTTTACCTGCTATGTCACAGTGCTGGCCCCTCTGCATATATTTTTATATTATGTTCATCAAAACAACTTAAAGCAAATGTATTTAAAGCAAGCATATTACTCTTGGAAATATGGAAAATTTTTAATTCATGCAATGTACAGGGATGATATTCAAGTCAAAGGGAAAAAAATACCATTCAATTTTATAAATGTATCCATATATAACTATCTACATAAGGACAAGCATGAAGTTTTCCACAAAATATACATTATTAGCTCATCACGAACACCTGATATCTATAGCTAATTTAAAATTAGATGGCATTTCAATAAAATCAGAGTAAGCCTTAAAAATTCTTTTAAGATTTTTATTTATTTATTTGAGAGGTAGAGTTACAGACATAGAGAGAGAGAGGGAAAGGTTTTCCAACTGCTGGTTCACTCCCCAAATGACCACAGATTTGGTCCCCTAAAATTCTTTTTTTTTAAAGATTTATTTATTTTTATTTATTTGAAAGTCAGAGTTACAGAGAGAGAGGAGAGGCAGAGAGAGAGAGAGAGAGAGAGAGAGAGAGAGAGGTCTTCCATCTGCTGGTTCATTCCCCAATTGGCCGCAATGGCTGGAGCTGTGCTGATCCAAAGCCAGGAGCCAGGAGCTTCTTCCTGGCGCCCCAACCAAGACTAGAACCCCGGGGTGCCGGCACCGCAAGGTGGAGGATTAGCCTATTGAGCCGTGGCGCCGGCCTCTGTTATGTTACCTTTTAAAATGATTCCTGGGGCCAGTGCTATGGTATAGTAGGTTAAGCTCCCACCTGTAGCGCCAGCATCCCATATGGGCACCAGTTCAAGTCCCTGCTTCTCCACTTCCAATCCAGATCTCTGCTAATGCACCTGAACTTGGCAACCTTTAAGATCAACCATAGTCTTCTAAATTATAGTTTGAATTACTGACTCTCCTTATTCCATTGGAAGATTTTCTTTATAACAATTTTAAGGGGGGACTGGTGCTGTGGTATAACAGGTAAAGCTGCCGCCTGCAGTGCAGGCATCCCATATGGGAGCCATTTTGAATCCCGGCTGCTTTACTTCCAATCAAGCTCTCTGCTCTGGCCCGGGAGTGCAGTGGAGGATGGCCCAAGCCCTTGGGCCCTGCACCCCATGGGAGACCAGGAGAAGCACCTGGCTCCTGCCATCGGATCAGTGTGGTGCGCCGGCCGCAGTGGCCATTGGAGGGTGAACCAACAGCAAAGGAAGACCTTTCTCTCTGTGTCTCTCTCTCACTGTCCACTCTGCCTGTCAAAAAAAAAAAAAAAAAAGTTAACATAACAGAACCCACAGATTACTCTTGGAAACAGAATCTTCTTGGATAGAACCTCTACATGTGGTGTCTTTCATGCACATAAATGGACCAGTTCTGTGCGTTGTTCTAAGAGTTCATCAAAACTTAGATCATACTGTATATGCAGTAAATACATTAGAAAATAACAAAACTAATCTGAATCATCCTTTTTTTTCCCCTCAAAGATCATTTGAAAGGTGGAAGCACACACACACACACACACACACATTCCATTTGCTGGTTCACTCCCCAGTTGGCTGCCAAGACCAGGTTTGAGCCAGGAGCTGGGAACTCCATCTGGGTCTCCCAAGTGGGTGGCAGGTGCCCAAGTCCTTGGGCCATCATCTACTTTCCTGTGTGCAATAACACAGAGCTGGATTACCAGTGGCACAGCTGGGACTTGAACCAGCACTCTAATAGGGATGCCGGTATGGAAAGTGGCACCTTACCCACTGCACCACAATACCAGTACCTGCACCATTCTTCTTTCTTACACTATGCTAGAATACCTGTATTAATGATGATTGTGGGGTCATAGAGTCCTGGTACACTCTTCACTGGCCTGCTTGTACCTCCAAATAATGGGATGCCAGGAGAGGCACATTGAGTCCCGGAATAAGCCATGGGGGCTGTACAAAGAAAGATGCCACAGAAGAAAGCATAAAATAAGTATTCTGGAAGTACGAGAGGATTCAGGGTATCACATTGGTCTACAGGATTCCTGCAATCAGTTTTCAGCTTGTTAAATGCTGTAATGTGCCAAATGATGGACATGTTGGTGAGTAGCAGCACCCACATAATGCAGAAGATTGCAAACATGAATGCCATGACCAGGCAGCAGGAAAGGATTTTTTTTAAACCAAATTTACTCTTTGTTTATTTGTTTTATTCGAAAGGCAGAGTTACAGAGAGGCAAAGAGAGAGGTCTTCCATCAGCTGGTTCACTCCCCAGTTGGCTGCAGTGACCAGAGCTGCACTGATCTGAAGCCAGGAGCTTCTTCCAGGTCTCCCATGTGGGTGCAGGGGCCTAAGAACTTGGGCCATCTTCCACAGCTTTCCCAGGCCATAGGAGAGAGCTGGATGGGAAGTGGAGCAGCTGGGACTCCAACTGGAGCACATACGGGATGCTGGCATTGCAGGTGGTGGCTTTACCTGCTATGCCACAGTGCCAGCCCAGGAAAGGATTTTTTTTTAAAGGATTTATTTTATTTATTTGAAAGGCAGTGTTAACAGAGAGACAAGGAGAGAGGGAGAGGGAGGGAGAGAGAGGGAGAGAGGGAGAGAGAGTGAGAGGGAGGGAGAGAGAGAGGGAGGGAGAGAGGGAGAGAGAGAGGGAGGGAGGGAGGAAGTGAGGGAGAGAGGAAGAAAGAGAGGGAGAGGGGGAGAAAGAGAGGGAGAGGGGGAGAAAGAGAGGGAGAGGAGGAGAGAGAGAGAGAGAGAGAGAGAGAGAGAGAGGGAGAGGGAGAGAGGGAGATATCTTCCCTTTGCGGTTCACTTCCCATATAGCTGCAACAGCCCAGGGTTGGGCCAGGCAGGAGCCAGGAGACAGCAGCTTCATCCTGGTCTCCCATGTGGATGCAGGGGCCCAAAGACTTGGGTCATCTTCTGATGCTTTCCCAGGCACATTAGCAGGGAGCTGAATCAGAAGCAGAGCAGCTGGGACTTGAACCCCTAGCCTAGGAAAGGATTTCTTAAGCGTGATAAGGGAAGTACTTTATACTATAAAGACTTCTGTCCATCAAAAGACACCATAAGAAAATGAAAAGACAAGTTAAATGGTAAGGAGAGATTCATAATATACACAGTTGAAAAAGGAGTAGTAAAGACTGCAGGAAAATGCTTGTATATGAAACAGGAACCTTCACATATTTATATCATCAACACTTTTTTTAAAAACAATATGCAGGCATTACATTGATTTTTAAAAATTATACAGAAGTAAATACCACTAAAATTAGATTATCTCCACTCAATATTTTTATTGTTTTTAAGAATACATAATATTATTTATTTGAAAGGCAGAGTTAGAGAGAAAGAGAGAGGGAGATAGAGAGAGAATGTTTTCAACTGCTGATTTACTTCCCAAAAGACAGCAACAGCTGGGGCTAGGCCAGGACAAAGCCAGGAGCCCATAACTTCCTTCAGTTCTCCCACGTGGGTAGCAAGGGCCTGAGCACTTGGGCCATCTTCCAGAGCTTTCCCAGGCTACATTAGCAGGGAGCTGGATGGGAGGTGGAGCAGCCAGGCTTTAACAGGCGTCCATACAGAATGCTGGCATTGCAGGTGGAGGCTTAACCTACTATGCCACAATGCCTGCCCGATATTATCTATAGATGACAACTGCAGCCTAGAGCCCTCTGGATGAGGGATTCAGCGCATTAATAATAGTACCTTTTCTTATATAAGTGATAGAACATTTCCATATAAAAGATTAAAAAAAAACACAGCTAATTATAAGAGTTTTTATAGCAGATGTGATGAGTATCTATTCTAAAACTGCTGAACAATTCTAGAAATGTAATAGAAAATGTGTAAGAACTGGGCTTACGTTGTGTCCCAGCAGGTTAAGCCACTAGCTTAGCCACCAGCATCCCATATGAGTGCTGATTCAAGTCCTGGCTGCTCCACTTTCCATCCAGCTCCCTGCTAATGCACTTTGAGATAGAAGGGAAGATGACCTAATTGCATCCATGTGGGAGACCTGGATGGAGCTCCTGACACCTGGCTTCTGGTTGACCCAACCCCACCTGTTGTGGCCATTTGGGGCGTGAACCAGTGGATGATCTTTCTGTCTCTATAATTCTGCTTTTCAAATAAATAAATAAATCTTAAACAGAAACAAAAACAAACAAACAAAACCACGACACTGAATGATTTTTGAAATGGCAACCATCCAGAGTCCTACGATAACAAGGAGCACACAAGAAAACCTTAAATTCGAGCTTGCCCAGGGCCTGACCTGTCTTTGGAAGGTAACTACGCAAATCTTAACGCAGGCTCTTAAGGTGAGTCCCAGTCAACAAGGTTAACAATCCAAACTGTTAATCAGGTATGAGTTAGGGCTGGGACCTTTTTTTTGACAGGCAGAGTGGAGAGAGAGAGAGAGAGAGAGAGAGAGAGAGAGAGAGAGAGAAAGAGAGAGAAAGGTCTTCCTTTGCCGTTGGTTCACCCTCCAATGGCTGCCGCGGCCGCCGCGCTGTGGCCGGCGCACCACGCTGATCCGAAGGCAGGAGCCAGGTGCCTCTCCTGGTCTCCCATGGGGTGCAGGGCCCAAGAACTTGGGTCATCCTCCACTGCACACCCGGGCCACAGCAGAGAGCTGGCCTGGAAGAGGAGCAACCGGGACAGAATCCGGAGCCCCAACTGGGACTAGAACCCGGTGTGCCGCAAGGCGGAGGATTAGCCTAGTGAGCTGCGGCGCCGGCCTAGACTGTGAAACCTTAAACTGCAGAGATGATGACCAAGCGAGCGTGCCTGAGACCCAAATGGATCTCAAACCAATACTAATTTCAGGTGGAAGAAGTCTGGGGCCAGAGTGCCTTGCGCAGACTCACTCCGAACTGGGCGGGCGTGCTGCTGCCGGGTGGGCGGGGCTGACCTGGGCCATAAAAGAGCCCGCGTGGCCTGCCGGGTCTGGAGCAAGGTTCCGGTGGTTGGTGCGAACGGTTTCAGCTGCTGCTCTCAACATGGACACGGACGTTGGAGCTGCTGAGGCCCGGCAGCACCCATTGAAGCTGACCCGCCCAGAGGACCTACTTAGGTTTCCACATCCACTGCCGCCCCCGCGCATTCACATCCGGCCGTGGTGGTTTCCGGTGCAGGAACTGGAAGACCCCGCGGTGTTCTACCTGGAGGCATGGGTGGCGGACTTGATCTTTGGTGAGCTGCTAGTGCGACTCCAGTCTGAGAGGCTCGAGCCACTCCCGGGCCTCTTTCCGGGGTGCTCTGGCTCTGTGGGTGGCTCATCCCTTCCCGGGCCATCTTTACCTTCACATCTAGCTCCTTCTGATCTGACCATGACTCCACTTGCTCTCCCCTTACTTGTTTAGGCCCAGACCGCGCCATGATTCCGGAAATGGAGTGGATGAGCCAGGCCCTGTTGAGGGTGGACCCAGTGGACTCCGGGAATTTAGTGGAAATCACGGTCCACGCACGGCCCCGTGTGCAGAACCGGGTGAAGAGCATTCTCCTGAGCCTGGCGTCATGGCACCGAGAACGTCGTGTGGCGCGAGGTGAGGCTGTTGGAGAAGCTGCAGGCGGAGGAAGCCTCTGGCTTTGCTCAGCTCCCTTCCAGCCTCCTGTAGCTATCAGTACTTACTGCCATTCCCAAACCCCAGAAGCTGCCCGCAGACCCAGGGGGTCCTTTTGGGGGGGGGGGTGCACGTAGGACCTAGGGAAGGTAAGCAAAGATCTGATGCATTCAAGCTTCTTATTGCCCAAGTCAGCCTTCGCTAGGCTGCTTCCCTGTTGCCAGACGGCACGTTCAGAGCCTTCACCTCTCCCCACTTTGCCAGATGCACCGCCCTCGTCTCCTGTATGCACGGAGCACGTGGGAACAGCCGACATTTTCCCTTGCCTGTGGTTGATATCCATTGCTTCTCTTCCAGCGGAGAAGATGAAGCACCTTGAGGAGTTCCTGAAGACTCGTTCATCGGGGCCGGACGCTCCCCTGCATCTCGATACTTAGAGCACAGGACTACGGCCAGGAGCAGAGCATTAGAACAGCCTTGCTTTTTCTAAACTTGGAGAGAAGCAGGTGACCCTAATCCCTACATTCCTTTTTCCTGTGACTTGACAGTACTTCTGATGTGAATGTGCATTTGTAGAGATATTCGAATAAATGGACTTTTTTTGTCCAATGACATAAACTTTTGCTTACTTAAATCTATAAAAGGTTGAGTGTTTATCTGACATGAGGGGTGGGTAGAAGGCTGGCAGGAGGTGGGTTTTTTTCCCCTCTTATTTTGAAACTTAGGGTTTTTTTTTTTTTTTTTTTTTGAGATAGGTCATCAATTTGAGAGCTCGTTAAAATAGTTCCCTAGGCTCTTCCTATTCTAAAAATTTGGAAGGCAGAGTGATAGGAAAAGGCAGAGATGGATCTTTTTTTCCTTTTTAAAGATTTATTTATTTGAAAGTCAAGAGTTAGGAGGCAGAGAGGTCTTCCATCTGCTGGATCACTTCCCAGATGGCTGCTACGGCCGGAGCTGCGCTGATCTGAAGCCAGCAGCCAGGAGCTTCTTCCGGGTTTCCCACGTGGGTGCTGGGGCCCAAGGACTTCGGCCATCTTCCCCTGCTTTCCCAGGCCATAGAGAGCTGGATCGGAAGTGGAGCAGCTGGATCTCAAACAGGCGTCCATATGGGAATGCGGGCGCTTCAGGCCAGGGTGTTAACCTGCTGCACTACAGCACCAGCCTCTAGAGATGGATTTTATATTCACTGGCTAACTTCCCAAATGGCTGAGGTTAAGCCAGAAACCTGCCTGGAAGAAACTCTAGGCTCCTGGCTTCAGATTGGCCCTTTAGAGAATGGATCAGTGGATGGAAGATCTCTGTGCCTCTTTGTCTCTGTAACTCTGCCTTTCAAATCTTAAAAATGGAGTTAGCACTCCAGTATGGATTGCCGGTGTCAGACAACAGCTTAACCAGTTGCACAACAACGCTGGCCCCCTTTGTCCAGTGATGCTGACTCAAGATGTGGTTAAGGTCTGTTAACTTCTACTTTTAAGACGGACTTGAAAGTTAGAGGGAGAGACAGAGTCCATCTGCTGGTTCACTCCCCAGATGGCTGAGCCATGCAGGAGCCAGGAGCCCCTTCTGGGTTTCCCTTGTGGGTGGCAGGGATCCAAATGCTTGGGCCATTCTCCAATGCTTTTTCCCAGGTCATTAGCAGGGAGCTGGATGGGAAGTGGAACAGCCAGGACTAGAACTGGCGTCCATCTGGGATGACTGTACTGCAGGCGGAGGATTAACCTGCACCACAGCACTGACCCCTAATTTGTATTTCTAACAAACTTGTGTGTAAGACCAAAGCAACTCTGAGGTTCTCACTTCAACCCTGGTAGTCTGCCCCTCAGATCACCAGGTGTGCCTTTTTCTGAGTGGTGCCTCCTGCATTGCATGTGAGTTGCTCTCCCCCACACAGGCCTAGCCTAGACTACCAGCATTTATGATGGCACTAAGTTTCACCACTGAAAAGCCAGGGTGGCGGGCCCCTTGGCCGACCAGAGGGTGCCCTGCATTGGAGCTGGCTGTTTCCTTGCTCTTGTTGCACAGGTATTCCTTGGGGGCTGAGTAGTTTTCCTTACCCATTCAGTGATGACCAATCTGCAAAAGAGCTCCTACCCTCACCAGCACAGCTTTGAAGAGCCAGAATTTTTTTTTGACAGGCAGAGTGGACAGAGAAAAGGTCTTCCTTTTGCCGTTGGTTCAACCTCCAATGGCCGCCGCGGCCGGCGTACCGCGCTGATCCGATGGCAGGAGCCAGGTGCTTCTCCTGGTCTCCCATGCGGGTACAGGGCCCAAGCACCTGGGTCATCCTCCACTGCACTCCCGGGCCACAGCAGAGAGCTGGCCTGGAAGGGGGGCAACCGGGACAGAATCCGGTGCCCCGACCAGGACTAGAACCCCGTGTGCCAGCGCTGCAAGGCGGAGGATTAGCCTAGTGAGCTGCTGCGCCGGCCAAGAGCCAGAATTCTTGAGGCAAGGTGTCAAGAACTGACTTCAAAAAAGTTAGGGTAATCTTGACTCATGCAATTTCTTCATCCCTTGCCAATAATGGCGGTCTAGCCCTTTGCAAGAATTTTATACTTGAATTTTTCATGTAAACAATTAAATTTTATTACCAACATATTCCACCTTGTTAAATTTTTTGCACCTGATTTTTATTTAATGTAGTTAATGACCTCTCTGCTCTTCCCACATCCCCACTCTTTAATATCAAGCCTAGAAGCAGCTGCTTTCTTTCATGTTGAACTTTCATAAATATTCAAGTTTTTCTTGGTGGGAATTTTTACAAAATCATGGCTTATTATAACTTATGTCAGGGCAGGCGCTAGGCACAATGGCTAAGATGCTACTTGGGATGCCCTCATCCCATACTGGAGTTCCTGGGTTGGAGTTCTGGCGCTGCTCTGGATTCCAGCTTCCTGATGACACAGGTTGTGTTAGCAGCAGGTTGTGGTTCAAGCAGCTGGGTCTCTTCCACGCAAGTGGAAGACCTAGAGTAAGTTTCTGGCTGGTGGCTTTCTGCCTGGCCCAGCTGCACTTGGGCAGTGAGCCAGCAGATGAAAGACCTTTCTGTCCATTTTCAATAAAAATATAAATTATAATGTGTTTCTTTTTAAAGTTATTTGAAAGGCAGAATGAGGCAGAGGTTTACCATCTGCTGGGTTACTCTCCAGATGCCTGCAACAGCCAGAGCTGGGCCAATCCAAAGCCGGGAGCCAGAAGTCTCTTCCAGGTCTCATGTGGGTACAGGGGCCCAAGGACATGAGTCATAGCAGAGAGCCGGACTGGAAGTGGATCCGGCTCTTGAACTGGCACCCATATGGGATGCCAGCACTGTAGGCAGAAGCTTTATCTGATAGACCACAGCGTATACATTTCAGTGAATTTTTTTTTAGTAAATGTATGAGTGGTTCCACTACAAGTAAAACGCCATTGTAGACATCTTTATCCTTCCAGAATGTCCCATGTGCTCCTTTGTAGTCTATTACCACTATCTCCATGAGCCCCAGGCAATCTTTTAATTTGACAGGCAGTTAGACAAAGGTCTTCCGTTGGTTCACCCCCAAAATGGCCGCCACAGTCAGCATGCTACACTGATTGGAAGCCCCCCCTCTATCCGTTCCGCCTCCTGGTCTCCAATGTGGGTGCAGGGCCCAAGGACTTGGGCCATCCTCCACTGCGCTCCTGGGCCATAGCGGAGAGCTGGCCTGGAAGAGGGGCAACCGGGACAGAATCTGGCGCCCTGTCCGGGACTAGAACCTGGTGTGCCGGCGCCGCAAAGCAGAGGATTAGCCTAGTGAGCCTGTGGCGCTGGCCCCTTCTTTGATCTTGTAATGTGATTTATCACAATGAATATATCATTAAACCTCACTCGATGCATATATGGCCCTACAAGAAAAATGTATAAAGCCGGGGCTGGTGCTGTGGCATAGTGGGTAAAGCCGCTGCCTGCAGTGCAGGCATCCTGTATGGGCACTGACTCGGGTCTCAGCTGCTTCACTTCCAATCCAGCTCTCTTCTATGGCCTGGGAAAGCAACAGAAGACAGCCCAAGTCCTTGGGCCCCTGCACCCACATGGGAGACCTGGAAAGACGCTCCTGGCTTCGGATTAGCATAGCTCTTACCGTTGCAGCCAATTGGGGAGTGAACCAACGGATGGAAGACCTTTCTCTCTGCCTCTCCTCTCTGTAACTGACTTTCATGAATAAATCTTAACACACACACACATACACACACACGTAAGATGTTTGGAACCTTTGGCTCTTGAGACTCTTGGAAGGAGGCAGCTGGCTTGGCTTTCTATAATTTCAACATGAAACAGTGTCTCCATTTCTGGGGTGCTTAAAGAGGAAGAGCCATGGCAACAGGTGGAACTCAAGTGTATTCCAGGAAAGGTTAATAAATGTGTTAATGGGAGTGAAAATGTGGCATCAGCCTTCTGATCACATGACGAAAACCCTGTCGGTGTGGCTACTGGATGGGCTTGGCCCAGTGAAGCTCAGCTCTGCTTCATGGGCCTCGATGAAGGCCTCACATTTCGGGTAATTCCTGAAGACTGTGGGGCTGCCAGGCGACAGCAGATAAGAAGTCAAGAGCTGCTAAGAAGGAACTCTTGATTTGCTAGTTCTCTTTGGAAACAGCTGTTCAGCATAACTGTAGCTGTTGGAATAGGCCAGTGAACACTAGAGCCCTAGCAATTTGGGCAGAAATTCGATGAAACCAAATGTCTTGGCCTGGGCCTTCAGGAATCCACAGAGGAATTGAAATGTCTCTAGCCTGTAGTATGCATGGTGGTAGCAGTCAGTCTCCAGAGCTGGTTCTGGAACACCTTGAATTGGGGAACGAGGGAGTATGTTCCCCCTTAGCCACTTCCCCGAATCTAAGACCATATTGCCTGTGATGGTAGCCGTAGCCTCCTTTCTTTACTGAGCTACTGAAATGTGGCTAGTCTGCATTGAGATGCACCACCATAGTTAGATTAGTGTTATAAAGTAAAATATCTCCGCTTTCATGACATGTTGAAATTATACTAGGTTAAACATAAAAAACAATCCTACCTGTTGCTTCATGCTTTAAAATGTGACTACTAGAAAATTTTTAAATTACATTGTGGTCCACGTTGTATTTCTATGGGACAAAACTGCTGTAAGGGCTCACCGCCCCACCTGCTGTCACCTATCTGGCCTATACACTGCCATCACTCTGCTCCATTCTTAGTGTGTGTGTTTTTTTTTTTTTTTAAATATTTAAAAGATTTATTAGAGCCAGCGACCTCCAGCCAGAGTGGCATAGGAGGCTCCAAGAGAGGAAAAACCTGAAGGGGCTGGTGGTGCTGGGTTTTTAAGCACAATTTTGAGGAGGGAAAAAACTTATCAGGGTGACATTGAGTTACAAGGTGGGAACAAAACCCATCAAAAGGCCTGATTTGCATTCTTACCCTGTCTATCTAGCTCATCATAAAGCAAAAAGAGCTATCAGAAGGGTGGGTACCTAATTTGTTTTACAATAAACTGGGAGCCCAGAAGGGTGTAGTCGCCACTCCCTTGCTATTCTCATGATAAGTTTTAGCATTCTGTTTCTGTAGCAGCCACTTATTTTTTTGCCTCTTTATCCTGGGCAGGACAACAAAACCAAGGATTCCTGGGGTCTCTGTTCCCAAACAAATCATGCAGGCAAAGAAGGCAATAGGAGCATAAAATCTCCAATTCTCCATCTTTAAAAAAAATTAAAACATTTACTGATTGATTCCCCAAATCACTGAAATAACCTGGGCCAGGCCAAGAACCAAAGCCAGGAGTTTGCTTCCCACAAGGGTAGCAGGAACCTGATTGAGCCACACTGCTGCCTCCCTGGATCAGTACTGTATAGAATCTTACCTAGGCACTCAATATGTGAGATGTATACTGCTTTTTTAAAAGATTTATTTGCTTGAAAGAATTAGGTAGAAACAGATCTTTCCACTGGTTTACTCCCCAGACAGCTGCGATGGCTGGAGCTGAGCTGATTCGAAGGCTGGGTTGGAAGTAGAGCAGCCAGGACCCGAACCGGTGCCCATATGGGATGCTGGCGCTGGCCCTGAGATGTAGTTTTCCTAACCCCTAAAGGCCTACACCTCCCTCCCATTTTTTAATGATTAAAAAATCCCATTTGAGAGAAGGTGGTGGGGGTAAGCAGGCACGAACCAAACCCAGAGACTGATATGGGGGTGTCCTTAAGCAGCAGCTTAACTGCTAGACCAAAGACCATCCTCTTAACTGGCAAAATACACCGATTCATGTAAGTATATCGTGAGCTCTAATGTTCGAACAAAACCAGGAACTTTGGAAGCCATATGTATATACATTTTCCCTCAACCAGCTTATGCATTTTAACTGCTTCATCTGGAAAAATCATCTAGGAGCCAGCATTGTAGTATGGTGGGTTAAGCCTCTGCCTGTGACACCAGCATCCTTTATGGGCGCTGGTTCCAGACCTGGCTGCTCTACATCAGATCCAGCTCCCTGCTAATGGCTGGAGAAGGCAGCAGAGGATGGCCCAAGTGCTTGGACCCCCGCCATCCACTTGGGAGATCCAGAGGAACCTCCAGGCTCCTGGCTTCAGCCTGGCACAGCTCTAGTGGATACAGCCATGTGGGGAATGAACATCCAGATGCAAGATCTCCATCTCTCCCTCTAATGCTGGTTTTCAAATATCTAAAAATAAACCTTTGAAAAGGTGATCTTGACTACCAATTGAACACTTGCCATCTCAGATGTTAGGATATTGTATAAAGCAACATAGTTTAAGGGGTAGATACTGGAAAAGCATGTACATACACACATACGTGGACAAAAGATACCTGCTGCCAGCCCATAAATTCAACTTTTTTTCTTCTTGGTTCTCTCCAGCCTCCACCCAGGAATGTTTAATGAGGTGTCCTACCACCTTGTTCTTTCATCGAAGTCCTCTCCCATCCGTGTGTGTGTGTGCACACAGGGTAATTTTGGGCTTATATATCAATAGGCAGACCCCTAAATGCTCTGTTGGCCTGCTACCTTCTGCTCACCAACCTCTCTGGTGCAACAGAGAATCTGATGTTTTGGTCAAAGGGGTACTACTCTCAGAACAGCAGGCACACAGGGAGTGTTCCTTCTGCTGGAGTGCAGCCTCACTTGAAGCTGATGATTCGTTTTGATATTCATTTTGAGCTTAAAGTTCACCCCTCTTTAGGCTTTTCGCTTTGCCTCCCCTGACCTTTAAAATTAAGCTGCTTTGAATTTTTAAATAAACTTTGAAAAAAAAATTTCTAACACTAGTATTATGCAGATAATGTTCAATCCTAGCACACAGCTGTTAGTGTTCATCCTACTTCATACGCAGGCAGTGGGATCAGAGGTGAAAGGGTAGCCGAGCCCAGCATCCTCTCCCAACCGAGGTGGGAATGGCCGGTGTTAGCTCCGCTATACGCCCAGGAGGCCCTTCCAATCTAGGAGGGCTGCAAGCCGTCTCCAGGTTTTCCCATCTTAAATTACTATGAGAAAAGACACAGTGGGCTTGCAGTTTCCCAAGAGGGCTGGCTCAGGGAGCCCGAGAGCCCTCGCCCCAGGGGACACTTGACCGCAACCCGGGAGGACCCGCCCCAGAGCGGCAGACACCCAACGCGCCTCACCTGCCCCGGAGGGGAAGGCCGTGTAAAGCAGATCTTGGCTGCTAGAAGAACAAGCCTGGTAACCTTCCGACTAAGGCACGCCAGGGGAATGCAACTCGTTTTATTAGAACTCCTTAAACTTAAACTCGCAATTAACACAGAGGGGGAAAACAAAACACCCGCAGCGTTCTGCCCCAGCTTCTAGGGCAGCAGTAGGACCTAGAAGAGTAGAATTACTGAGGGATCTGCACTTGAAGCCCTTGCTGGTTCTCGCTCTTGGCTCTTCATAGCCTGGTAACCGGGTCCTCGGCAGCCTCTCGAGGCCGTTGCGTCCCAGGCTCGCGCTCCTTGACTGGAGACCGCTGCGTCCCGGCCTCGCGCACTTCGATTGGAGACCGCTGCGTGCCGGCCTCCTGCACCTGGACCTTCTCTGAGCCTGGAAGTAGAGCGGTGTGAGGAGACTGCGCCCTTGTCACCCACACCCTCCTCCTCCCAAAGGCAAGTCATCCTGCGGACAGAGGCTGGGGGCCGGAACCCCAGGACGCGGGGCCAGTTTGGCCTTCTCGATCCCTGGTAGAGACGAAACCCTTCGGGGCAAGGGGAAAAGCGAGCCTGCTGCCCTGGCAGCCAGGAGACACCAGGATCCCTCCCTTGGAGCCAGAAATCGCTTGGGGGTCGCCCTGCCTTCTCCCGGGCCCATACTTTGCACCCGGAGCTGGCGGTGATAGTCGGCCAAGTTCATGATCAGCTTGGATACATCCTTCTGAAAATAAGGTCGCCCACATATCAAGATCTCAGCTTCGCCGTCAGGGTCCCATCGGTTCACATGAAGCAGGGTGTGGGAGACACACTCGACGTGCGGGATGTGCTCCCCGCCGGGGCCTGCGCGGGGAACAGGGAGGCAGTGAGCAGAGGGGTGTCTCCTAGGATCCTGGGCGAAAGGAGGGCTTGGAGCTGGGGCGTGGCCAGGCCTTGAGGGATGCGGGGCGGGTGGGCAAACGAGGCCTCACGGGCCGCCTCTAACCCGTGCACTCACCGAAGATCGCTTCCACCAGCCAAGCCTCCAGGTGAACTGCCTTCGGACTCTTGAGGAACTCGGAGTGGAACCAGTTGGGCAGCTTGGTGAGGTTCCCGAGCACCTGGCACAGCTCCCCTTCTCGCTGCTGCAGCTGCACGAGCGTCTGAAAGCGCTTGGGGGTGGCCATGCTGCAGGAGCCTCGCGGGGGGCCACCGCGCAGCAAGAAGCCCGGGGCGGCGATGGAGGTAGGCGTACACGGAGGCGGCGAGCGCAGGGGCCCGGCTGGGGCAGTATTTCAAGGGCTTTTGGCCAGCCCCTTCCGCTGGCGCGTTTCTCATTGGACCCCCGGCCTCCGCTCCGGACTTCTTTTCAAGGCGGCGCAAGTGCGGCGGTTTCTGAGTTCCTGCCGCGCTGCTTGGGGGTGGGCTCACCGCCCACTGCGCGCGGGTCGCGAGGGACCAGGGACCAAAGAAGGGACCAACAGCTGGACAATACCGCTTAGAAAGAAAAGAATTGATACCTGCGGCATGATACTTTACTTTCAGGGCTAAAGTAAATTCCCCACCCTGGCCAATGAGCTCCACCCCCCCACCCCCACCCCCTCGCCGTATCCCAGTTTTCTGAGCTCCGGCAAGGGCAAGTATCTTACTTAATGCATCATTAATGCCATGCACACAACCGACAACAGAGAGGGGTCCTTGAAACTTTTTTTTTTTTGCCTCCATTTTCCAAGTGATACGACGCTATTTCTTTTCTTTGATGTTTCGGCTTAAAGCGTTGTTGAGTAATTGCTCCTCTTTGGCTGGAGCCGCTGTCGATCCGAAATCTCGAGCTGTGACTTCGCCACTGCCAGCTTGGGTCAGGAGGGAAAGGGCGACTGGGCCCCTGTGACCTGCTGTAGTCACCGCGGGTGGGCACTGTGGGCCAGGGGATCAGGCTCCGAGGGGGCGGAGGCGGGGGTGGGGAGGAGAGCGGAGCTAAGGTTCACGGATTCTGGCCGATATCAGCTGAAAGATGCTTTCAGCTGGGCGTTATAATTAAATATTGAAACACATAATCTTCATTCATGGGGGACAATTTATTCTCAGAAAAAATTCAGAAGAAAAATACAGCGTGCCAACGGTGCTGGTATCCCACAGGGGCGCCGGGTCCTGTCCCAGCGGCTCCTTTTCCGATCCGGCTCTCTGCTATGGCCTGGGAAAGCAGTGGAAGATGGCCCAAGTACTTGAGCCCCTGCACCTGTGTGGGAGACCCGGAAGAAGCTCCTGGCTCCAGGTCGGCTGGGCATCGCAGCCATTTGGGGAGTGTACCAGCAGATGGAAAATTCTCTCTGTAACTCTGCCTAATGAAATAAATCACAAACTTAAAAAGCCCTCAGGTATTTTCCTTTTTAAGTTTCCACTCAGACCTCTCTATAGAGCAATCTCAGAACACGGTGTACATTAGTTATTCCTCACTTCTGCCCCCTTTTGCCCTACTTAAAACACGCTACATTTGTAAATCTAATAGTCTCTTTTTACTCTCCTAAGGCTTTAAATTCCACAAAGAAGATTTTGTTCACTTTGGTTTCCCTGCTGTCTCCCTAGAATAGAGTAGGTATTGGAAGTACCATGAGGGTGGGAATTCTCTTCTGTTTATCTGTGTGGCCACAGTGCCTAGAACAACATTTGCACATTGCAGGCATTTGCTGGGCCCTTGTGGACTGATGTGTATCATAACACGCGTATGATGTATATCATTCCTTAGAAGTGGGACCTGTGTGAGAGAAGAGGACATCTAATCATTGACACTTTGTTAAATGCCGAATGTGTTGATATTAATCATATAAATTAAATATTCATTTAAAATTTGATACTTGGGGGCTAGCGCTGTGGTGTAGGGGGTAAAGCAACCACCTGCAGTGCCGGCATCCCATTTGGGTGCCGGTTCTAGTCCTGGCTGCTCCACTGGTTCTAGTCCTGGCTGCTCCACTTCCAATCCAGCTCTCTGCTATGGCCTGGGAAAGCAGTAGAAGATGGCCCAAGTCGTTGGGCCCCTGCACCTGCGTGAGAGACCTGGAAGAAACTCCTGGCTCCTGACTTTGGATCAGCTCAGCCACTTGGGAAGTGAACCAGCTGATGGAAGATCTCTCTCTCTCTTTCTCTCACTCTCTGACTTTGCCTCTCTATAACTCTGCCTTTCAAGTAAATAAATAAATCTTCCAGGCTCCTGGCTTCCGCCTGGCCACGCCCTGGCTGTTGTGGGTGGCCATTTGGGGAGTGGACCAAAATATGGAAGATTCTCTCTCTCTCTCTCTCTCTGTCTCTCTCTCGGAGACATCTTGTGGGGGCCCCGGGGTCCAAGCGCTTTGGACCATCTTCTGCTTTTCTAGGCACATTAGCCGGGAACTGGATCCCAAGTGGAGTTGGCATCACAAGTGGTGCTTTATCCCTAGGCCACAACACTGGCCCTTAAATAAATCTTTTTTTAAAGGATTTTTTTATTTATTTTATTATATATATATATATTTGACAGTCAGAGTGGACAGTGAGAGAGAGAGAAAGGTTGTCCTTTGCCGTTGGTTCACCCTCCAATGGCCGCCGCGGCCGGCGTATCGTGCTGATCCGAAGCCAGGAGCCAGGTGCTTTTCTTGGTCTCCCATGCGGGTGCAGGGCCCAAGGACTTGGGCCATCCTCCACTGCACTCCCTGGCCACAGCAGAGAGCTGGCCTGGAAGAGGGGCAACCAGGACAGAATCCAGTGCCCCGACCGGGACTAGAACCTGGTATGCCGGCGCCGCAAGGCGGAGGATTAGCCTAGTGAGCCATGGCGCCGGCCCCTAAATAAATCTTGAAACAAGGAAAATGCCAGTGGGGAGTGGGCTGGAAGTGGAGCACGGTAAGATCTCTAGGATATGTTAGGAGGACTTTTGCTTCAATGCCTTCCTGAGACAGAAATGTCCTTTAAATGTGTTTACAAAGATTTCCTAAAAATGATCTGCTGAAATAACTAGTCTTCCAAGGTTTACCCTTCCTAATGCTGGCTCAAACTAACGCTGAAATTTTGCCCATTAGCATCCTAGCACGCCTCTTTGGGATGCCCAGCCAGCACCTGTGAGACTCGTTACGCTGCGGCTAGCAGGGCTGCGGAGCACAGAGTGCCGTGGGATGGGGGTCCTCACCGTGTCCTCCAGCTCCACGTGGTCCTGTGAGCAGGACCCGATGTAGGGCCTTGAGTCTGGGCTGGGGGATGGTGTGAGGCACTGTTTGCCTCCCTGAGGATCTGCGTCCAGGAGGGCTGTGACACCCCCAATCCCCCCTTCACTGTTTGAACATCCCAACCCAACACACCCCAGCCAGTTGGGCATTGCCTAAAATCTCCATTACAATATGTTGCCTGGTGGATGTTCCAGGGGTGTGTCTGTGGGCCCCTGTGGTTAAGATCAGATCACCTGCAGGGATAGGTCTGCTTTAGTTCCAGACATGTGGACAGTATGTGATCCCTATATTTCGCTTAAGATGCCCCTGTGTGTGGTCCACCCGTGCCTGCATGACCTTTTCGCTGATTGGCTCCCCTACTGCACATGTCCTTCGTAAGCTTTATAAGCCTGTAGGCTTCCTTAATAAAGCACTTCCTGCTTCGACAACCCACGGGTGCTTGTGGTGTGTTTGTGACCCCCTCGACCTTACCCTTCCTGTTTGCCTTGTTGGGGAGTGCTCGCGCTGCCCCTGCAGGTCAGGGGCTAGCATTGGGCTTGAGACCCTGACACCAGCCCATGCACCTCTGCAGAGCATGCCCGGATGCAGGAGTGAACAGCACGGGGCTGGGGTGGGGTGGGCCCTCTGGGCTGGCACCTCACCTTCTCTAATTGGAAGCAATTCCTTCTTGGTTATCTCTGCAGGCTCCCAGCATTAAATCATTAAATACTACCCCCAGCGCTGACCGCTTAGTACTCACATCCCTTACCCTCTACTGTTCCCTGGTTCCCTTTAACCAGCAACTCCTCCTACCCCATACTTGTTGCTTCTCCACAGCAGTGCAAGGCAAAGCCAAGCTCCAGGATATTTAGGCTCCGAACCTTGCAGTCCTCAGTGTCTCTACCCGCCTGGCTCTTCCCTCTCTACACTGGCGGGTCTCTCTTCATGAGTTTGTAGCTAGCTCCCCCTTTGTGTTTCTGTACCAGCTCTGGTCTCTTAATCAAATAGTCCCTGATTTTCAGTGAGACTTTCCATTGGTTCCCAAATTATTTATTTTTATTTGAAAGGGAGACACACACAGCTTCCATCCCTGTTTCACTCCCCAAATGACCACAACAGCCAGTGTTGAATCAGGCTGGCACCAGGAGCATGGCACTTCATTCTGGTCACCCACCGTGGGTGGCAGGGACTCAAGTACTTGAGCCACCTTCTGCTGCCTCCCAGTGTGGGTTAGCAGGAAGCCGCATATGAAGGGCAGCAGCAGGGACTCCAGTTGGCCCTCTCTGACCTGGGATGTGGGAGTCCCAAGCTGTGGTGCAACCCGCTGTGCCACGACTCCTGCTCCTGGCTCCCAATTTTAAAAAGTCACACCCCCATTCTCCTTTCCTACTTTCTGTGTCTTCAGATGACATCCTTGCCCAACAACGTATTGCACCCTGTAATCCTGTTAAATTAACCAACAACATTGCGGTGTGTTCATCCTATGCCACCACTGGACCATGAACACAGGAACTCCCTCCTCTCCTACATCACCACGGTCTGCCCTACACTTAGAGCCATTCCTGGCGCCCAGAGCATGCTGTGTAAATATCAGTTGAATGCAACAAGGGGTGCAATTTAGGACTCGCTTCCTGTGGCATGCATAAGCCAAGTATGTAGGTAAAATGTGAGTAGGGGCTGGCGCTGTGGTGAAGTGGATAAAGCCTCCGCTTGCAATACCAGCATCCCATATGGGCACTGGTTCGGGTCCTGGCCACTCCACTTCTGATCCAGCTCTCTGCTATGGCCTGGGAAAGCAGTGGAAGATGGCCCAAGTGCTTGGGCCCCTGCACTCATGTGGGAGACCCAGAAGCTCTAGGCTCCTCTTCGGATCAGCTCAGCTCTGGCCATCATCTGCTGCATCCCAGGTACATTAGCAGGGAAGCTGGACGGGAAGCAGAGACAAGACCCAGTCCCAGGCACTCCAGTACGGGATGCAGGTATCCCAGCCTTGGCATAGCCCACTGCACCATGCCTCCCCTAATTGACTTGACTTTTAATGTTGACCTTGATCATCTGCTGCAGCATCTCAAGGCCTGTGACGGGAGTGCCCAGAGGTGGTGAGGCAGGGCCCGTAACTGGGAACCCAGAGCAGGCCAGAACCCACCCAGCATCCTTGCTGGCTTTTCTGATAGTGGCTGAGA